ATTATAGAAAAACAATTAATTAACCTTATTGATGTCCTATCATCTTGAATCTGCTATCACACACAAACCCATCGTCTTCATCATTCTGAATAGATGTGCCCACAATCTCACTGTTCACTTTGACCTCCATGGAACACCTCTTGTAAGGTTTGAAACCTGTGTGGTGCCGCTAAACTTCACATTCCCTAATTATATTATCAGGTCATTTATGTAAATGAAGTCACTTTAGGTCAATTAAGTTATTTACGACCTAAATTGGAGATGAGTGTGTTATTTGTCTCTTCGGAGACCTCCTTCCATGAAAGATTTGCTACATCTGAAATTTAGTTTCTTCGTTTTCTTTTTATATGCCTCTCTAAACATTTGTCCCAATTTCACTGCTGGAAGTCATGTTAGAACCACAAGAGGACCCATCAACTTGTGGATGAGGCATGGAGAAATGATCTGTAATTTTCATGATTATCAGAGAAAACAGTATGAAAAAAGGAGGATGAAAGATAGGAACTGTGGGACAACTTAAAGATATTGAAACTATGTTAACAGATAGGTTGGGTTATGAAATTCTTGAAGTGATGTATGTTGGAGGACACCAGAAATTCCTTTGTAACACCGTAAATGTCTCAAAATGTCAACATAAATCCACAAATAAAGTCAAATCCCAGAATCCTCAACATAGTCTCGAACAAGTGTGTGCAATCATGCCGATGCCTTCCCGCGGTCCTGAGAGGTACCTGAAACACATAACACATAACACGGTAAACACGAAGTTTAGTGGGTTCCCCAAAATACCACATACACAAATAATAAGCCTTTCATGGCTATAACTCGACATGGACCCTCCGGTCTCATGCGTCTTGGTGTGAACCCTCCGGTCATGTGTCTTAGCGAGGACCCTCCGGTCTCACAACTCGGTTTGGACCCTCCAGTCCAGTATCTCAGTGAAGACCCTTCGGTCCCACAACTCGGTTTGGACCCTCCGGTCCTATCTCAGTAAACACAGAATATAACATATATATCACACAGAAAAGATGCATAATATCATATAACTCAAGTAAGCACATAGGACCCTCCGGTCACACAAAGATACCACTCATGGTAAGTATAGTGAGAAGACTCACCTCGTAAGTAGGCTAAGAAATGTGTACTCCTCGAACACGAATCACCGAATCTAGCCTCCGCCTAATCACATATATGATAATTATCTCTAAATTAACACCTTAATCACAAATTCTAAATCTAACTCTTGGATTGGGAAAAAGACCATTTTACCCCTCCATGGTCTCCATAAGTCATGATTAGCCAAACCCTAAAGTCAACAGAAGTCAGTACTCAAGTCAACTGTCCATGTTGACCTGACTCGCCGAGTGCATCTATGTGACTCGTCGAGTTCCCATTGTCCCTCAGATCAACATCGCGAAAACCCAACTTAACTCGTTGAGTTGTCTCATCAACTCGCCAAGTTACCCTTGTCCAGACTTATTGGGGAGCCGACTCGTCGAGTCAGCTCATTGACTCGTCGAGTCCCTTAAGTCAAAATGTCATTCAGACGTTTTAAGGCAGATCTACCACTCCAAACTCTAGATCTAGCCTCCCAAGGATCGAATGTCACGTAAAGCTTCGATCTTTACGTTCATGCATGGCATATTTTCTCCATAATGCCACTACAAGCTCTAACTAAGGTGTTTAAGCACGATAACTCTTTTATGGTTGGATAAAGTTGGAACCTTTAGCCTCTATGGACCTCACAAGGTCCAGATCTGATGTCTCAATGCTTGGCAAGCACAAGTCATACCAAATCTCAAGGAAATATGGAAAAAGCCCCAAAATTTCCTCATTAACAAGATCTAAACAACATAATGAGCAAGGTGATGGCTTTTACCTTCCAACAGAACCTCCAAGTGAAAGAATACTGGATCCCACAGCTTCTCCTCGTTCCTTGCTTGTATCTCACTTCTTCCCTTCCAAAAGATTCACCAAAACACTCAAATATTAGCTCTATCACTCTCTCTTAGCTCAATGGCCGATTAGGGTTTCACACAAGGGAGTTGGGTAGCTGGTGAGGCGGAAATGAGGACATAAGTTCCTTTAAATAGGCCCCAAACCTGGAGATTTAGGGTTTCATCTCACAGCGCCAACTCGGCGAGTCGACTCTCTGACTCGTCGAGTCGGTTATTAAACCCACATGGCCAATCGTCTCTACTCGACGAGTTGAGGCACCAACTCGTCGAGTTTCTCAATAAATCTCAAAAATAAATATATAAATAATATACATGGGAGTCCGGATGTTACATCCTTGATTTCCATCTACAATTTGTACATGAACATGCCTTGCGTAAGTGTGCCCACCCGTTGTATTATGAGGATTCTGACCTTCTGGAAAGTCAAATAATTAAGTGCTCCATGTGTGCTTAATTTCGCCATCTTGATCTGATTTCTAATGCTATGTATCATTGGTGGTTTATGGGGAGTTGGAATGCATTGATTACATTTTAAGAAGATGATCGTTTTAAGATTTCATCACAGTAAGTGCATGGGCAATATGGTCCATTTGGGTTTTTTTTTTCAATGTCAAATGTTTTAAAATAGAAAAAAATATTATAAAATATCAAAAAAAACACTAAAAATCATATTTGGATAAGTATGATATTTTAAATACGGTTAAAAAGGATAAATATGATACTTAGAGCATCTCCAATGTGAGGTTTTTTATAGTGTATTACTATTTCCTTTTTTTTAATGAGCACTTAAAATCATTGGAGCAAACAACTTTTTTGTTTTTTTATTTTGACCACTCAATATATACTGAGTGGTCAATATAGTATGATAACTTGTACATTTTAACCCCTTCCATTTAAAAGATATGTCATTTTATAACTAATTTGTAATATTGTCAATGTTTTTGTTGTATTTTTATAACTAAAACATAATAGTTTTTCATATTTTAGGTATATAAATAAAGACTCGATGTAGTTGTATTATATATTTTCATATTAAGATATGATTTGTGATTAAAAAATGATTAATTAAATTAGATGTTTTATAAAACATTATAGATGAAGCTAATTAGTTAAATTTATAGAAAAACTATTAAAATAAGTTCAACCATTAGAGAAATCATTTATTTAGATGTCAAAATTAATAGATGATGAGGTGGCAATAACTTTAAGTTATAACATGGGTTATATATTAGAGATGCTCTTACATTTTAAAACAGATAAATATTATATTTTGACACTTAATAAGGCTAGAGGGTGTGGCTGCGGTTTGGGGCCGCGGTTTGTGCCGCCTAAGCCGCGCACACCGCCCCCAGGCTGCGGTTCTATGCGGTTTTGACCGCAGTGCGGTAGTCCATGGCCGCACTCCTTTTTCTCTTTCTTCTCTTTTACTTGCTCTCTCTCTCTTCTCTCAACCAATTATCTTCTTTTCTTTTCTTTTTTCTTTTCTCTCTCCTAACCTTTTTCCCACTCCCCCATTGCGGTTTCTAGTTGATGAAATAAGAAAAAATCTGAGTTGGCGTCTACGTGGCATAGGAGGGAGTGCAGTTTCGGTGGCACCACCTAAGGGCTTAAGTGCGTAACTAAACTATTGCTTACGTGGACAATAAATATTAACATATATATGTGAAGATCCAATCTCCGAGATACGATCCTCTTCTCCAAGTTCGAACTCTCACATACCGGTTATGTTTCTGTAACGGTATGCACCGTCGGGATCTTCTCCATTCCGGTGACCTCAAACTTATCACACTCAGATCCTTCACGTATTGGTTTCTTCCTTCTTTCGAATGAATTGCTTGACAGATACGACCTCGAATGCAAACGAGACCCTAATTTGTGCGCCTTGGATATCAAATTCATCTCATCTCAGTACTCTTTACTTTCCAAGATCTCGCCCCTCCTCCTCTACCCTCTTTCAGCAAATCGTACCATGTCACATATCCAGTATTGTACTCGATCTACTTCGCCAATTACAACGACCTTTCCCTCGTGAAGATCGATGTCCGAACAAAGCTCTACAACACTGAAGACGACGACGATGATGGTTGCACCACCAAAGATTATTTATCAGCTGGGCAACCGCATCCGTCTCTTTACTTGAGATTCTTCCTCATTTATCTGTGTTTTCTAGGGTTTTGGATCTCCGTATGCTTTAAAAACCCGCAATGTTTTCACAGAATCCATTTACTAATGAGTGTGTTGCTTGTTGCGACTCTCATTCACTTTATCTCTGCGGTGGCTGATCAACATGACCTGAAGGTTATAGGTACTCCTCTTGGATGACATGTTTTGTTTTACATATATCAGTTTATGAGAAATCTGCTTTTCTTCATTGTAATGGTGTTGATCAGCACCGGATGGTGTTTCTGGAAACCGTTTTTGGGAGAAGGGGAATTATTCATTTTGACGACTGTGATCTTACTTCAGATTTGGGCTAATGTAACTCCTATAATGGTAGATGAATCCGGGCCTTATAATGAAAACTGGCTGGATTTGAAAGAAAGGTTTACGTATATAGACATCATATGTTCTATCGTTGTTTTTCTCCATAGTTTTTACATGAACAGGCCTTTTGTTCTTGACAACGAGGTTGACAAATGTGTGGGATATCTTGCTCCTACTCGTGTCCAGATGATACACATTAACTTAATTTTGATGTGTTTAGATTCTGTTTAGAGTTTTAGGTTTGTTCATATTAGTAGGTTGATGATTGTTTAAATTTTAATAGCTACAGCTTTTGTTTGGTTGATTTCATTTGTTTGACTAAGAATGTAGTTTAGCTGTGCATGCTTTGCATTTGCAACATTATCATATGCTTCTGGACCATTACTGACAGATTCCAATTAAAATATTACAAAATCTAGAAAAATATAAACAAAAAAAGTATCAGCAAGATATACAAGCGATACTAAAAAACCCGCATGCATTCATCAATTACTTAATCAACTACAAATACATTAACACGTATACAGAAATATATATACCATAAAAGTAAGTATAGCACTGGACCAGATAATTGAAAGTTAAACATTAACATCAAGTAGCATATGCAGATGGTAAATTAAAAATAAAAAATGTCATAAGTAACAATAGCCACAAGCCTACATACCTCAAAAAAAAAAACAATCTTTCTTTACATTGATCTGCGTGTTCTTCGTCTTCTTAACGCCCATCTTTCTTTAATATCAAATGTTTCATCAATCTGATGTTGTTCATCAGATAATCCCTGATGAACATCTGGCTCTGTTGTGGTAATAATACCATTAGTGCCTGAAACACCTTTGATTCTGGCAGCTTCATCGATTAAATCACTTATAAGCATTTCTGTAGTTCTTGTAGTGATTCCTCTAAGGTACCATGAAATTGGTGGGGGAGGTACAATTGCAGGTTCAATAAGTTGCTGTAAAGTCACCTTTGATGCAATCCTTCCATTTCCTTGAGTACATGACATGTATTCTGATAAAGTTCTTGGCTTACAGGGATGACATAGTTTTTCATCAAGTAAGATTGGTTCTACTTTCCAGCTTCCTTCAAATCTTTTCATAAATCCCGGTTTCACTTGCTTGAATTTCATCTGAGAATCACCAAACAAAAACAGTATAAACATAGTGTATAGATGATAATAACAGCATATAGTTTTTAGAAAATAAATTCGTTTCTTACAGAGTAATCTTCGCGATTTTGATCTACCATTACATGAACTGAAATTGTTCCTGACCAAAACAGAAACCTCCATAAAGCAGCTTGTTCAAGTTCAACAACTTGCCTTGAACCTTCATCTATCAAAACCTTTCTGGATAAAACTTCTTGAATGTTCTTGAAGACTCTCTTGTTGTCTGGATCAATGACAATGTTGTATATTGCATCTGGGGGTAAACCCACATTCACTTCTACATTTAGCTGGCATAAAGAGTCTTTGGGTACACTGACCTGAAAATTTCAAATCTATAAGTACAAATTACTTGTTCGAATGATTAAATAATAAACTCTTACCTCAATAGCAGGGGGTTGATGATCATTCCACACAGGATTGTTTCTCCAAGCTTGAATTTGCTTTTCGAGATTGATTTTTGCATCTTTGAATTTGAACATCTGCCTGTTTGTGCCTTCTTTTTCTATTGGCCTCTTGAACCTTGACTGCATTATATGCGGTAAAATGTTATAGGCAGATAAGATAATCATATGATTAGAGGTTTTCAGAAGAATCGATTTACCTTCAGATGCTTCTGAAATTTTCCAGGGAACTGTGATAAGAAACCACGGAGTGCCGGAAGATTAATGCGTGGGCGTCCGTTTATCTCGTGAATTTGGACATTCTTTCGCGTATTACTATTCCCTTCTTTTTCACACATCGAACTTAAATCGGATGTGAACATCTAATTTTTCAATTGAGTTCAACTGATTCCCTGATTGATAATTGCAGATGGATCAGTGAACCAGAAACAAGTCAAAACCATCGGAATCCGACATCACAAAGACATATTCATTCTATCAAGCATGAAGCGATATACACGCAACTCGTTAAACTTGATATTTCAAACAATTAACCATACATTAAGCAAAATTAGGTTTTTGAGGCTAATAACTCAGCAGAAAAGAATCAAAACAAAGGCATTTGCACTTACTGATGAGTAAAATTGAATCCGTCGAACATTCAGTCGACTTGAAATTGAAAGATCCAAGCAGTTTGAGAGGCTAAAAATTAAAGATGTTATCCGCGTCTCAAATTTGACTAAAGACCTATTTTGGGCTTCCGGTTAAAGCTCCAAAACCAAAAAGCCACCGTGCCAAAGCAGTTGGGGCACCGTCCATCCCGCGTCGACAATGCTTTCCACGTCTCACAATGTCGTCCGTTGATCATGGTAAACGCTTACTCAAGTCAAATAGTCAAAGATTGAATCTGGATAATAAGTAAGCAATAAATACATTCCAATTCCGTTTTCTTTATCATACTCACGTGTTGTCTTTTAATATATTTTTAGAGAAATTAAATATACTCCTACCTTTTGTTCCTATATATCATCTTACCCAATTAAATGATGACATGTGTAATATTTAATGCTTATTTAATAAAATTTAATAATATTTTAGGATACTAATATGACACATGTCATCATTTAAATGGGTAGGAAGATTGGTAGGAAGAAAATGTATGAGGATATTTAATTTCTCATATTTTTATGGTATATCGGTATATTGGGAAGTCTAATAAATTTTTAATATTTTGACATTCATAAATTAAATATTGTTTATATAAAATAAAATAATACTTGTTAAAAACTTTGGAATGATTTTTTTTGTTGGTTTCGCAAATTTAATAGTATATTGTATTTTTCATTAATTCGGTCAAAATATTGGGATTTTTCTGAAAATTACGTTATTTTTAACCAATAATTAAAATATTAAGATTTTTCTGAAGATGATTGTTGAACTAATGTCTATTGTTATTAACAAATCATTTTAAACATAACACAACTTTTTTATTATAAAAAAAGAAATACAGTTATTTCTAATTTTTAAAAATAAAAAGGTGGATTAATTATCATCCAACCTTTATACCTTACCTGGTAACAAACATCGCACATACACCGAGAGTAAAAACTCAACCGTGAATGACAATTTATATAGAAACAGGTAGAGAGTAATTATCTATTTAAATTCCCATTCAAATTTCACTTTTCACTCTTGAAAGATGTGTGTTAGCTAATGATTGTTATCAGGTAAGGTATGGAGGTTAGGTGATAATTATGTTAAAGAACATAAGAGGAACACACACATAATGCATCTCACTATGACATTAACAACGAAAAAAATACGAGATACTGGCTAAATCTGCGAAACCGACCAAAAGGGTTATTTCGAAGTTTTAGTTGATATTTTGTCTTTTCTTAAACCAAAATTAAATTTATAATTAACCGAAAACTAAACCAAAATATTGAGACTTTATATGAGATTTCCTTACTTTTAAATGCAAAATTCAATAACTTATTAATTTTTAGGTAAATCTTCATTAAAGTTGATAGGTTTTCTACATCTAAACACATGATATTGCGCAACGGAAACAAACAAATATTTTGATGTGTTCATGCAACCTAGAGGATCCAAGTTTCGTACTTTTACTGCTACTACTAAAAAAAGATATAAAATATATACATATTTTGAAGCCATTTATCTCCTTGCTTGAGACATTGTTTTTGCCACCTTGTTTGGATGACAGAACCCAAACCATAATCTCTCTTTTGGTTCACACCCAAGAACACCAAAGAGCAGAACAAAAATAACTATGAGAGATGATCAAATTCAACAAACCCTAGAGAGGGTTAAGAAAATCGTTCAGTAGGTGGAAGAGAAGAGAAGGCCGAAAATTCAAAGCCAATGGATGAGCAAATGGGTTTGATCCCTAACACCCTATTTATTAGCTACAATTGCTTAGCCCCAAAGCAACTCCAAACCCTTATGGGATAAGCCTAAATTCGGTATATCAAATCATCTTAAGAATTCTGAAATATTCCAATTAATTAACATTCAACCCCCGTTGAATTTTAATTAATTTTAAAATAATTTCTAATTGATTTATCAAGCCATGAAAAATTAATAAACTAATTTCTCTTAAATTCTTTTTATTCAAATGGATCATGAAGGTAACCCAAAAGGACTCTGCTATTATTAAAAATATTACCAATAGTTTATTGACCATGTATAATCTTTCCAACAAAAGTCTCATTATTTTACCCTAATTTATGAAAAGTCTCAAACTAAATTTTGTTTATAAAAAAAACCTGAATTAACGTTAAAAGTGATGACTTGGTATTTTTTTCTCAGTTTATAGGTTTCATTGTTGACCTAGACGTCTATTCATTAAATGAGTTGGAAAAATGTTCATTAAAGTCTCATTATTTTACCTTAATTTACGAATAAGTCTCAAACTAAAATTTGTTTACGAAAAAACATGAATTACTGATGGTGATTTGGTCATTTTCTCCCTTTAACACATTTTACTAGTTTCATTATTGACTTGGAAGCCTAGTAATTAAATGAACTGATGAGATGGATATGGTGTGTTATATAATATATGTTTACCGTAAAACTTGATATCAATGAGCCATTGAAACGAATATTGATAAATGAAATCACATAAAGAGTATTTTCCAATACTACTAGAACCAAACTTAATGTTATTACAATACCTCCAAGTAACCCATAAAAGTATCATAATGATAGCTTCCAGCACCAATCTTTTAGAAGCAGAGATTTGCACTGAATCAATCCCAACTAAAAATGCTCTCCACCTCTATCGAAACCAGAATGTTCATACCTAATCAAGGTTCTAAATTACGTGAGGCGTGACCTGGCGGCAAAGTCAAACCTCAAACCATGACATTTTTCAAGACATTACAATTTTATATACATCAAAAAGATAAATCACATAATTATAAAATTATGTCAAATATATCAAGTTTTTAGAAGTGTTATATCAACACTTACTATGAAAAAGTTAACAAATACTCAATTGTTTAATGTCCAATCAGAAAAAAAAAACAAAAACAAAAAACTCGCGCCTTGAAAAAAACTCATGTCATAACGCAATAAAGCGCATCTTGACACGTTATTTGAGTGTCACACTTAACAAACCCGCCTTGGAGGTTTTCGAGAGGTCTACCTCACGCCTTGGCGCGACTTTTAGAACCATCTATGTATCCATCTCCTGAAAATAGATCATAGTGTTGTGACAATATCACCCTTGTAAAAAGTGTGTCGAAAGTCATCGACATCAGACAAACAAACCGAACATAAAACGGAATCAATATCCACACTCATATTGCCATATGTATCAAGTTATAAGTACAATTAGGCAACCTATTCATGCCAATTCTTCAATATAGAACATTCACTTTTTTAACATAAACCTATTCCAACACAAAATATTGATGTTCATATAACATCAAATGCACATTTGTGATAACCGATTACAAAAGCACATCATCCAAGTTTAAGTTGATTTGTGATAACCAAATTATGGTATTAATCGTAACATATGGACAACAATAACTTCACATTGTTCCTAAATGCATTTTGCCCTTAATTTATAGCATCATGTTCATGATGGAGAAGGTGATGTTACATATTCACATTAAAACAACATCAAATGCGATTAGAAATGTCAACAAACCCACAATGATGAATTTTATTAGATAATCTATACGATAGTTTGGTTGTAACAAATCTCTGAAAGCTTGAATGACAATGCTTTGTAATAGGCTATATATATATATATATATATATATATATATATATATTATATATATATATATATATAGCCTATTACAAAGCATTGTCATTCAAGCTTTCAGAGATTTGTTACAACCAAACTATCGTATAGATTATCCGATAAAATTCATCATTGTGGGTTTGTTGACATTTCTTTTACAATCTATTAAACAAGTCTTAAATTTCAAATCTAGGGAGTTTAAGATTTAATAATTTGGATTTATTTACTTTAAAATGTAACGTTTTATCTCAATTCAATCAAATGCTTTTAAGAGCTTCCTAGAAAATGAAACAGGTCTAATAAGTAGAGCAAGTTAAATCGATCAAAATCAACATGTTAACTAGTTACACTAACAATCAAAACGGCCTTCTTAATTATATACTATTTCATTACACACTTAAAGGATAAATAAAGACAATCTTTACTTATAATTCAAACTTTATTTTCCTTTACTCACAATTAATCCTATACCTCAACATGAACAAAAAAAAACCCTAAATCAACATAAACAATTAATCCCATATATATCCTGTTTGGTCCTAGAAACGCACGAGTTAGGTCGATCGGCCCATGGTTAGCATGGTAATTGGTTCACCAATGGCAGCCACTTTAGCGCTAGCAGCAAACCTCTTATCGTACCCAAACTCAATGCCCCCATCTTTTGTAGGAAGGCTGTGCTTACATGGTTTTGCCACATCGTGACGCTTACTGAAAATTCTTCCATGAAAGCAGGAGAATGCAGTGATGATTATGATCACTGCTAGGACAATGAAGACCGGGCCATATGATCCATTTGACGAGTGGTTTGAAGTTGGAACAGTGTCAGAAACGGGGGACACTTCTGGTGATGTTTTTCTTGTGTTTTGGTAGAATGGAATAAAAGCTAACAAAACTGAGGATGATGACATTTTTCTGGTTTTTGGGTTAAATTTTGGAAAAGATGAAAAGAATGAGCAATAAAAGTAAAGGATGGAGAGTAAGATGATATATCACATTAACAATGGAATTGGCATTATGTATATATTGCCAAGAACGACGCCCATAGGAAAAATAGAAAAGATACTTTATACTTACAATAAAAAATAGATTCAATTATTATAGGAAACTAAATAAAAAAAGATACACAAAATAGGATCAATTTGATGCAAAGGAAGATTACACAGGATTCATAATATTATTTATAAAATTGATTTTGGATTAATTTTGGTCTGTGTGCAAAACCCCACCAAAAAAATAAAATAAAATATTCAATTCTGCAAGACCTTAAATTTTCCATTTAATGGTAAGCCCCAAGCCATGTTGGTTTACCGGAGGAGGTCCCACAAACCAAGGGGCGTGACTAGTACCAAAACTACAGCCAATTAGCTTCCGGAAGAGGGGAGTGTCCCTGTTTTATTGCTTTTCTTTTTGTTAGTTGTGTCATGGCCATTATCTCTGCAGGTGGTCCTTTTTGGTGGGGGGCAACACGATTTGGGTCTTATGTAATTGTTTGTCCTTCTGGTCTAATCCCTGAGTATAAGTAGGCCTTGTTTTCTTTATTTTGTTTTTAGCTAAGAATTTTGTAAAGAACTTGCTTCTTCATTGGAGATACCCAGATCTCAAAAACTAGGATTATCAATACAAATTTGAGTCTATTCAGTATATTTTGTGTTTCTTTCAATGCTTACTAGATAGATCCATTTTGGGTCTATCATTTAATTCGTTAATTAGGTTCCTCAAATACATTAACGGGGCTAAAGCACAATTAATCAATTGATATGCAAATCACTTATGTAGAAATCGAGAAATGGTGTGACTCTTATTTTTGTGTTTTTACATCATTTATTATATTCTTGATATGGCTTTCTTTAAAGAATATCATCTTTATTTTCGCCTTCTAACCTTTTCTCCTCAATCCAATCTATCAAGGGTTTATCAATTGGTCCTCATATACGTTTATTCTACTGCCGTTAGTATACCCAATTTCCAAAAGTTGTTTATAATCGACATCACTTTTCATATGTTTACCATATGAAAAGACTTTTAACTCACATAGCAATAGACATTGTTGCATTTACCCTTTTGTAATTTCTCAAGAAAGGAGATGAACTCGGGAATTCCTATACAACTGAAATTGACATCTCATACTGAAGCAAAGCAATCAAACCATTGTAGTATACGAAAGGTTTAGGTATGTAAACACCTTTGTGGTTAACGTCAACAGTTAATGACATTGTATTCAAGATTTCACGAATACCAGCTCAATATTACCTTCAACTGGGTAATTGTTGTATTTCTTTATCGACTTAATATATTGCAACCGTAAATTTGGATGGTAAAAAGCTGCAATTGGTATGCTTTCACATGAAATTTCCACCTGATAGCCGCATATGAGTCTCAATTTCTAAATAGGAGATGTAACCCATGAAACGGGTCATCTCAATAGATAATACTAAACAGATTTTGTCTAAGGGTTGATATGGGGTTCAAATACTTTTAAGATTTAAAATAGTAAATACAAAGAGTTTTTTAAAATTTAAAATCGTAAATCGATAAACATATAGTTTAAGCAAAATTTACAATTGAATCCGCATACATAATCGTCATGTCTTGAAATCGATCAATGATATCGTCATCAAGAACTCGTAGAAAAAAAAATCATTTTCAATAAAAGTGACTAAACAATTGTTTAAAACTTGATCATATATGTTATTCCGCAACTTATTCTCTATATACTTGTTGTAGCAACCATACAATATATATTTTACATAGTTATCCTACCTCACACATTAAAAACATGGTACAATCCATTTAGTTGGGGATACAATAACATAGAATATGTTTAAAAATAATTATATATATATATATATATATATATATATATATATATATATATATATATATATATATCACAAATAATTAAACCATTAATAAAACAGCTAAAATTAATTTTAATTGGTTTAGACATGGATTGTTATTGTCGTAGAGTTAACTTGTATCAGTTGGATGAATTTAAAAAAGTTATAAAACAAAAAAAAATGTGATTAGTTAAATTTATAAGAAAAATATGTAACCTTTCACAAAAGCTTATATAGATTTATGATAACCAAATAAATTTTTATTGTCTCAATATGGAGCTTTATCTTATTTCGATCAAATTTAAAATAAATAAGCATTTGCTCTATTAGTTTTGTTGTATTTGTTTTCTTTATTAATTACTTGTTAGTCCGTTTTTAATATAATTTTTGCTTTTAAAAAAAACAACTAAATTTTAAAAGCTTCCTAGAAAATAAAACACCTCTAAGTTCTAATAACTAGTGGGAACGAGTTAAACCATTCAAAAGCGACATAGTAATTAAACTTACAAAACACAAGTTATCCAATAATATATGAAGTTATACTTGTTGACAATCAAAATGGCCTTCTTATACTCTTTCTTTACACACTGAAGAAATAAATATAGACAATCTTTACTTGTAATTCAGACACTATATGTTCCACTATTTCACATTACAATCAATCCTATACCTCAACAACCAAAAACACTTAATCAACATAAACAACTTATTTCTGAATGGCATATGCTTCGACCATAATATATCAATTTTGAATAATTTTTTATTGTCGATTAAAAAGTTAACCAAACTTTAAAGAAATTGATCCCCACAATCAGTAACGATGTGGTCGAGTACGAGGTGTGAAGTTCAATTTGTTATCTCGATTAGCATCAAACCTCATTTGATGTTCACCTTGAGACTGATCACCCTTATGATCAAACGAGTTTGGTCGCCCCATGGTTGGTTTATGGAATGAGTCAGGTCGCCCCATGGCTATGGTTGGTTCACGAAGCGAGTTAGACCCCACCTTATATGGTTCTTGAAATGAGTCTGCAGGTCGCCCCATGGCTGGTTCACCAAACGAGTTAGACCCTGATCCCATATTGTATGGTTCTTGAAACGAGTTAGGTCGACCCATAGTTGGTTCATGGAGTGAGTTAGGTCGACCCATGGTTTGTTCATGAAATGAGTTGGGTCGACCCATGGTTGGTTCATGAAGTGAGTTGGGTCGCACCATCTTCGGTTCACCAAAAGGATCACTCCGGTCCATGGTTGGTTCACCAGTTGCAGCCACTTTAGCACTAGCAAACCTCTTATCGTATCCAAACTCAATGTCCCCATCTTTGGCATTAGGCATTGGCATTGCATGTTTCTCTTTTGTTGGAAGGTTGTGCTTTGATGGTTTTGGTTTTGGTTTTTCCACATCTTGACGCTTATTGAAAAGTCTTCCAAGAAAGCAAGCGAATGCAGAAAGGATTATGATCACTGCTAGGACAATGAAGACTGCCCCATATGATCCATTTGAGGAGTGGTTTGAAGTTGGAATAGTGTCAGAAACTGGATACACGGTAGGCATGTCTTGCGACATTTTTCAGGGGTTTGTTTTGGCTTAAAATGTGGAAAGGATCGATGCAAAGAATGAGCAAAGAAAGAGGTTGTTTAAGTAAGAGTGACAGTGGATGTGTTGGGTTGTAAAGTGAAGGGTGCGTTTTTGTGAAGAGGGGTGTAGAAGGGTTTTTGAATCCTAAAGGAGTGACTTTTGCTTTATTAAAGAGTTGGATAACCAAATATTCTTTCATGTCATTTTATATTATATGGAGTTACGTAATAGTGTGATACAATAATTCAGTTAGTTTTAACGTGATAATATGCTTAAATCAATTTATATATGCAATGATGTATTTTCCAATAAAATAATAGTAAGATACTTTTAAATTTCATCTATTTCAATGCCAAAAAAATCTAGCCCTTTTTTTGCTAATAAAGAGTTGTTTATGATTGGTTTGATAATAATTTATGATACAATATAACAATTGGTATACAGAAATCATTACCAACCGATGCAAATAAAAATATATATGTGTTATTTTTTTTAAACTGCCAAATAATGTTATCTTTGTACTTAAATTATTTCCTAAAATGATGAAAATTACCGTATATATTTTACTAGATACTAGGCATAAAAATGCATATTTTAAGACCATAATATGATTGATATTATTATATGTATAAGATTTATTTATTTTGATTTAACTGTTAGATTTATTATATGTATTAGATTTATTTATTTTGATCAATTGAAATCAAGGTTCTAAATAACGTAAGGCGTGACTTGGCGGCAATGTCAAGCCTCAAGCTTTTTTTGAGTCGTGGCGAGCGATGTCGTTTGTAAAGCGTGACTTAAGGCGGTAATTTTGTATATAATTAATAATTTTATATATATTTTCTATTATTATTTATTTTTATATACATATATGACTTAAGGCGGCATTTTGTCAAAGTTTGGCGGCAAGTACAAGCCTTGGAGCCATGGCGGAGCCGTGCCGAACTTTTTAGAACATTGATTGAAATATACGATTGGTCTTATATATTTGTATTTAATGTTACAAAACCAATTAATTTGTTTTATCGTCTCAAAGCGACACAACCGATCGTATTAGGTATTTTTATTAGTGTTTTTTGATTTTGATCTCTGATTTTCTATTAGATCTTATGATGTTATAAATATGATATAAGCACACATGTATCCATCAATATTTGATACTGTATTTTAAAGATTATCGATATTATATTATAAACTAGGTGTGAGACTCGTGTATTACACGAGTTGATTAAAAAAGTTAAATATAAGGTGTAGACATTAAGTATTTTCTAAAGTAAAATTTTGAAATAAATATAAATTAAATGATGAATAAGTAATTCAATCTATACTAATAAAAAATTATTATCATGTTTTAAATAATCATGTTGAATATGAATGTGTAAAAGTTAAGTATTTTTTAAAGTAAACGACCATTTATGTAATTTGTCTTAATTAATCTATACTAATAAAACTAACTAATATAAATTCATAAATGGAATTCATTAATATATTAATAGAAATTAGAATTCACAAATAAAAGGTTTATTATATATATTAATTCACATTAATTACTATGAGGTGACATGTAATTGATGGAAATTGAATATAAATGAAAAAAAAAATATAAAAATGACAAGTGGAAAAAAATTAATTTTAAAATTCTAAGAAAATAACATGTGTCAAATTCAATAAAAAGTTAACATTTGGCAAAATTATATTTATTTATTGAGGTAGATTTGAATGCATAAAATTCATGAGTATTTATAGTTTTCTTTTTTGAGAGTGGAATGAGATAAGATAAAGCATGAGTGTCTTATGACTCTCATCTTTATTTAGAAAAAAAAATTGCAAAATTACAATTATGCCGTTAATTCAAAGTGGATTTTATAGATAATGCTTCTTTTTATTTATAGTATCTTGTAAAGAAAACCTTAAATAAGGATTTTTTTTTTTATATAATTTATTACTATTAATTTTTTTATTGACCACTAGAACATATAGTTTATGTATTTATTTTAATATTTTGGAAATTTAACCTTTCATCTTTTAATCGTTATATGTTTATAATTCATAAATGAAATATAAATAATTAAATATTAAATAAATAAAAGCTATTTAAAAATAAAATACATGTATATTAGTTTTAAATATCTTTTAATTATTTCTATTTAATTTATGATTTATAAACATATAACAATTATGCAATATTCTCATGTTGTTTTTTATTATTATGACACATTAATTATAATCTATTTTATTTATTAAAGTTTCTAAACAATCTATTATAATATTATTATTTATTTAAAATATAATGTGTGTATAAAAATAAAAAATTAAATGAGAGGATTTTATAGAATATTTTAAATTGATTGGAACAAATTATTTTAAATAAAAAAATTATTGAAAAATATTAATCATTAGAAATATCATTTAATTAAATATCATTTAATTATAAGTTTAAATTAATGTAATGTATGAAGTGATAGTAGTTTTAAATGAGAATATAAAATTACTATTAAAGATGTTGTAAGCTTATTTGAAATGATGTGTAGTAAAACTTTTGTAACCACCAATAACTTCATTGATAATGGAAACTGATTTGTATACATATTAAAGAGAAACCTCTGATAAAGTCTTAATATTTTAAATTAGTTTACGGTTTAACTTACCCCGCGAGCTTAGTAACGTACATTCTACTTTCCACGTCTCGAACTTGAAAAAGTGTCTGTCCGACGAGACTCTTGTAATCCCACTCGACGAAATCGAGATCAACGAGAGCCTCAACTTCGTGGAAGAACCTGTAGAGATCATGGACCGAGAGGTCAAGCAAACGAAACAAAGCCGTATCCCGATAGTGAAGGTTCGCTAGAACGCCAAACGATGACCTGAATTCACTTGGGAACGAGAGGATCAGATGAAACTGAAATATCCTCGTCTTTTTAATTTAGTTATTTGTAACTACTTATTTGCTTAAATTCTAATTTCGGGACGAAATTCCTTCTAACGGGGGGATGATGTGACAACTCGAAATTTCTATTCTGTACAACCATTCACTTCAATAGGAGTCAAAACTATTTCTGCTAATTTTCAAGCTTTTTGGAATAAGTTTGAGTATTTTAAGATTAGTACTCCAGGAGATAACAGGAGAGAGGATGCCCTAGGGTTTATTGTGCAACAATAATGTCCCAAAACTCCAAGAGTTTGGAGTTTACGGCCTAAACAAAGGTGTTTACGGCCGTAAACCCTAAAAGAGGGTATAAATATGACACTTAGTCATTATTTATCACTTTTCACAATTTCAAGATCCAAAACTCAATTCTCTCTCAAGTATCATCGACTTTTCTTCTTGATCTTCAACATTGTAAGTGTTTCTAGCCCTAAAAAGTTGATATCTTACTTAATCTAGTGATCTAACATGATTCCATCCGTGAAATCATTCCAAAAGTGTAGATCTTCAAGTTTCACCAAGAACACACACTAGTGTTCTTGGACTTTTAGCACCTTTTCAAGCTTCTACCTACTAAGTACTTCTATCCTAGAGTATTATAGAGCTTGTTACACTTCTAAACATCAAGAAAACACCCAAGAAACCAAGGATCAAAGGTGTTTACGGTCCAAGATGTTCTTGGACCGTAAACCCCAAAAAGGGTGCCAAAGTGTGCCCTAGTCCCTTCTAAGCTTTGGAAACTAGCCTAGACCCCTTCCTTAATGTGTTTAGGACTTGAAAACATCAAAAGACCATAAATCATTTGGGTTTACGGCCGTAAACCCAAAGACAAATGGTCCAAGGACCGTAAACTCCAAAAAGGAGTGAAATGGTGCCCTAATCTCTTCCTAAGGCTTAAACATGAAGTAGGAATGCTTCTTGTGATCTTTAAGGCTTCAAAACACAAAATGGTCAAAGAAACATGAGTTTACGGCCGTAAACTCATGGGTTTACGACCGTAAACTCAATGAGTTATGGTCACAAAACCGTAAACTCTAATAAAGGGTTCCCTTGAACCCTAAACTCAATAGCAATGTCCTACAACACTTAGATGCAATCCTTAGGACTTATAGCACTTAAATAAGGTGTTTTACATGTCCTAGGATGTCTTAACTTTGTTAATTAGTTGTTTAAAGACTAATTGGATACATATATGTGATATTATATGTTAACTAGGATCATCGTGTGTGTACAAGTCTTCACTTGACACCTAGCATCCTATACATTCCGTTCATCCAAACCACTCACTACAGGTGAGTTCATACCCCTTAATTAACCTTTTAAATGTTTTTAAATGCTTTTAGGGAGGATACAAGTTGAACTATTATAGTTATTATATCAATCACATGTGATTAATGACTACCAAACAAGTGGATTTCTTACTTTTCAAACTGTGTTATCAAACTGTTTTACTTCAAACTGTTTTACAAACTCTTTTACATATCAAATACTTTTATTAAACTCTTTTAACTTATATTCTGTGTATCTATATGGATATAATTATATAAGTAGGATTGAAAGGACTTAGGACTGATAGCTCACCTTACTTCCCGTTCCTTGTTTGGTTGTGGACTTAGGGTATTCGGGTTATTTGTCCGAAGGTCGTTTGAATCCTAGTTATATATCATGTATATGTGTATAGATATAAAAGGTTACTTCTTTCATTCAGTTCAATTCCTTTGGGTAGCAAAGGTATACAAACATGTTCATATACACAAACAACATTACTAGTAAACTATAATAGGTATAGTTTAGGAAGATACTATTACTAGAACAATGAAACATACAATGAGTCAGTTCATTCATGAGTAATACATAGTGATGAGAAACAAACATAATACATAGTGATGAGAAACAAACATAATACATAGTGATGAGAAACAAACATAATACATAGTGATGAGAAACAAACATAATACACAGTTATGAGAAACAAAACATACATGCTAGACAGAGAAAGAAGACACAATATAGCTAGCACATACATATACATATACATATACATTACTTACAGTTATGT